CTTCCCCTTGCTCACAAGCTCCGATGCTTTTCTGCAGATGGCTGTTGCTGTGAGTTTAAACTCCCAACTCTCGCTGTTGCTGCAGAGAAAAACCAGCAGAGCCAGAAATCACCAACCCAGCAGCAAGCAGCAGTATTCCTGGTCTAGCCTGGTTAGCGAACACTGAGCAATGCCCGCACCTTTTAGGCAGCCCCTATAATGGGACATAACCTCTGCGATCACAAGGGGACTTTGCTAGCAGATTCAGCACAGAATTACAGATGTCACCCCAAAGGCCATCTGTAAATCCTCTTTTGCAAAGGTTTTTTCTAGTGAGAAGTGCCCAGGAGCACTCGGAGCTTCAGGAGGACAAGGCAAGCGAGGCCCCACCTACACAGCACCAACTGTTAGGAGATTAAGGCAAAACCAGGAGTGGAGGCCCGGCTATTTTTGCAGAGGCTGCAGGAAGAGAGAATGAGATCTGTTACAATCACACCTGCGCAGAGCCTGTTCTTTTCTCCAAGTCCCTGAAATCACAACCCACCTGCGGATACCGCAAGCGTCGATACGCGCTGTGTTTTAAGCCGTCCTGAGTCGAGCTGCCGTGCAGCACGCCTGCTGCAGCACAGCAAACACAAACGGGCAAAAATGCAGCACAGCGAAGCTGCGGGAGAACAGAATGGCAAAAATAAAACCAGGTTATCAAGATTTCAACCGCCAGCAGAGCTCTGCAGGACGAACCACCACCAAAGGCTGGCAGACAGCGTTTCTCTTCACGACAGTCCACGAGCAGACACAGCGGCAGGCATGGAAGCACCAGAGAACGACAGGCCCGGGCGATTTACCTCTGCAGAAATCCCCGACAACTCACCTGCGGGAGGAAAGATGACGCACACACGTGTGTGCGGTGCTGGGAGTCCACCTGAAGTGTTGTAATAAAACGTCTAAGTACCACCATGGACTATAGCCCTCATTTTAGACAATCAGATCAGAAGCAGCGAGAAGCCTTTCAGTCCGCGGTCCCACCTGGTCAGAGTGGCAGCTGGAATGAGCAGCAGCTTGGGGCAGGGAAAAAAGGAAAAAGAAGCAACTGCAGGTTTTTTTATTTTATTAGCAAATGGACAGTATCTGGACAGCTAAAGGAAATCAGCCTTTTCCACCACTAACTCAGCTGTCATTGTCAATTACTTGCACCACTCCCACACTCCAGTCTGTCTTTCATACAGCCAGAACCTTTGGGTAAACACAGAGCACAGAAACACAAAAAAATACAATATATACAGGCTTCCCACCAACTAAATGGACTTACATTTTTGGAGATTAGCAACGCTTTGTTCATTTGACTTTGCAAGTAATATCAAAACATCTCAAGATTCAAAATAAAAAAATACTACAATATTCACAATATAAAACTTAAATACATTTTTTTTTAAAATTAAAGGACTGCTAATAGCTATTGATTTATCACAGCTCGCTCTCAACAGAAGCTCTGCTGAGGAAGCACTGAGAATTTAAGGTTCACCAAGCGACATTCACATTCTGCACTGCTCCTGGTCAGAGCTAAGATGCTGCCCTGGTCACGAGACAGTGCACTGGAGACTTGTCCAGGAGTTCAACTCAAATATGTCCCACTGACGGGGTACAGCAAGGTCACAGACCAAGGCAAACACCCACCTTCAGTGGGGCTGCCAACCTCCCGAGAGCTGAAGTGCAGGTCCACGCATCACCATCCCAGGCACGTCTGATCTACTTGTCCGCCTTCCCAGCTCGAGCTCTTCAGTTTACGGCTCAGCAAACGGAGTGGGAACGACCAAGAGGTACGTGACACTTCCTCTCCTCTGCTATTCCGCCCCTGCTAACGTACTCCTGTGTTTCATTAACAGTCATTGAATAAAGTGACTGGAGAGAAAAAAGCTCATGGCTCGGCCTCCTCTCTGGTGTAACTCTTCAGAGTGCAACGGAACCGCACCGACAGGGACTCTGCCCCGCTGTGCTGAGTGTGCAAGCTTTACACAAACAGGGCAGACAAGGGAGCAAGAACTTACAAAGGAGAAATTCAACCCACCGTGACGCACTCTCATCCAGGATAAAAGAGATCATTAAGTGTGCTTGAAAGGCAAGAGGATCTGATTTTGCCTAGGAAATCTGGATTCCGTGATGGAATCCAGGTTTGGTTATTTCATTTTCACTTCACCATTCAAAGGAAGCACAAACTAGGACTAACAACAGCTACAGTATTTATCTCTTTGGTAACTTCTGTAAGAGAGTCTCTATGCAATGGGTACATCTTACAGTAATCATCATAAAACCCCAATAAGATCCTGTAGAAATTTCATAGATTGAAAGAAACCCTGGGCATGAACTGGGAAAAGAGCTTGCCCAAAATTGAACAGGGCCTTTGGGAGAGTAAGAAAGACTGCACAGGAACTGGATCCCTCAGATTCCTGCTCTAGCCACACAGCCGTGCCTCAGTGAAAGCAGATCCCAGATCAGAAAGCTGAATCAATAACCTCTCAGTACAGACAGAAGGTCTGGAGTGCATTTTAGGGTATTTCTTTAAGGCAAAAATGGGTGAGTACTAGCTGAGGAGACAGGCAGGCTTGGCAAACAGTCCGAAGGCGGACCAAGTAGCTGTAGTGTACTTTCATGGTCAAGTGGCTCCACGGGTCAGTTCATGGATCCCATCACTTCTGGTCACACGCTACTTTTAAATCCGGCTCAGGTAAGCTGCACGCCAAACGACCTGTTGGGTGAAATGCCTTTGCTTCTGTTTAGTTCCTTACAAATAAAGTTTCACATTCAAAGTTAGATTCCATAACCAGCTCTCCCCGCATATTGCAAGAAGTCTCAGCTGATACACCAGGGCTGAAGAGGCAGCAGAGAAGCCAAACGCTCCTTCCAGCTGCAGATGCGGTTTCCTCCGAACAGGCTGCAGACAGTCCTGAGGCACAACAGCAAGACTCATATTGCCATGTTTCATATTTGACCGGTTCTTTGTCTTGAGTAACAGTGTAATCTGGTGACCCGGTCAGCACGCAGACCAGCAAAACAATGAACAGGAAGTCCTGTATATCTCCGAAACTTCCACCAACGCGACAGAACAACAGCACTGAACCAGAGGTTTGTCCAAAGTGACCTAATGCTGCCACAAAGCACTGTTTCGGGGTTGAAACCTCAAGCACCTGCCCGAAAACCTAACTATGCAGAGGCAGAAAACCGCACTTCAAAAAGTGTCCGCTACCAAGTCACCCCCACACAGCTGTCACTACAGCAGCTCGCAGGGAGCATATTAGAAATGTGCATCCTCCTGAAATCTCTGGAAGGACAACCAACTAGCTGCACAGAGTCTCCCCAGATGAAAGACTGTCGATAGCTGCTAATTGAAGGCTGCGGTAATCCTGAAGTCCGCCACAAAAGGATTACGCAACTGAAGCCTGCAAAGGAACGGGAGAAGAATAAGCTTTCTTCCAAACCAGTGATGGCATCCACCGTAAGCAAAGAGTTTTTGGAAGTGGATCTCAAATAACTGTCAGGCCATGGATCCAATTCCAGGAAGTAATAAGGCAGGAATTAACGAATCAGCAAGAAACAACCTGAAAACAACCATTCCTGCCTTGGTTTTGTGTAGTGCAGACCACAGGCTGGTTTATGTAACTCTTCTGTTCTCATACAGCGTGCTGCTCTGTAAGGGTTAAATTCTGATCTTACTCAGTGACTGCATCCTTTCAGCTGAGATAAAGGGACTCCCAGGCAAAAGGACCACTGGGAAATACATCTGCCATGCTGTGACAACAACTTGCCTCCAACTAAGAGGACGGCTTGAGGTCAGCTTTCACTTCCTCAGCCTTCTGCTTCTCTTGCTTGCTTGTCACTGCTGCTAAAATTGGTTCAAGGGCACTTGAGACTTTTAGTAGAAAAGACTTTTCTCCTTGCGTCAAAACCCAAAAGGTTTAATATTTACTATGACCACGCAAAAGTAGAATCTGAATGTGAACTGGAAGTTAGTGTTATCCGAGTACCATTACAGGAGAGCTGAGAAAATAAACCAGCCCAGATTTCCTGCTTAAGGGCATGTCTCCATTTTGCCAGCAGCTACAACAAAGAGCATGTAGCTGATCACGCTTGAAAGCTGCACAAATACCCATCAGGGAAGAGAAATTACTCTCCTTGAAAATATACTTTTTGGTTGGAGAAAAAGAGATTTGAGAACCATTTTCTGGCTCCACCAAGAACCACTACTCCCTGTTTTACCTTTAGGAACAAGGAGGCAAGCTGAAATTTTACCTGGAGAACAAATATTAACACGTTAGTCTGACCTAACAACTGAATTCTGAACCTCATCATTATTCAAATGTAGAACGACAGGTTTTCATTAATTCAGGATTATTTTCCTGAAGTGACATTAAGAAAAAGCTGCCCCTAAATGTCATTTCAAGTGATCACGTTCATCCCCACCTGAGGGGTCTGGGGACAAGGGAAGACACCAAAACCAGCCTGATAATAATACTCAGCCCTTTGGGCTTTTCCTCTTCTGAGTGCTTTGCAAAGAAAAAGCCTCACCACATCCCTGTGAGGTAGGTCAGTAAGTATTATTATATTCCCTTAATACAGATATGGAAACTGAGGCAGAGAAGTCACTTTCCTGAAGGCCACTGCAGGACTCTGTCTCAGAGATGGAACTGGGCGACAAGATTCCTTAGCTCTCAGAGAATTTCCCTTTCTCTCCCACATCTCCCCTCTTCCCCATACAAGTCTTAATGGAGAAATGAGCAATGGAGAAAGGGGCTACGGTGCCACGTTTCTGACAAATAGCAGGACCCCTAGTACTACTACACGCACTCCAAAAAGGATTATTAAATATACAAGTACCTTAGAAATAATAGCAAAATGACTGCACACGTTGTAAAGAAGCCAACATACAATACAAACCCAGCTTAATAAATAAGTAAAGACATGCAGCTGCAGTTGTGACTGAGAGCTGAGGGGTCCCCAGCTCAGTAGGTCCCAGATGCCAATGGGTAAGCCCATGTCATTCCTGTGACTCTACTGCCACACCGACGAGTGCATGTCTGATGGTGCGACCGTGGAGTTTATAGCCATCCTGAGTCACCAGGGCTATTGTGCCCGGCTGCATTCCCTCAGCTGGTACATGGCAGACTATTTCATGGTCATATGGATCGTATTTGCCACCAACAGGGTTCATCTTCTGAAGGCCATGCTTGGCAAAAACACTTTGCAATTTGGCCTCTATGAGAGAGAGGCCTTCATAGATTTTCTTCAGGGTTGGGTTTGGATTACTAGGCTCTGTCTCCTCTGCGGCACTCTCGGCGGTCTTCTCCAAGATGTCTGCTACCTCCACAAGGTCCCTGCAGAAACTCTGGATCCCTACAGACACAAAGAAGGAAGAAGTAAATGAAGGGCAGTTAACAGAACATACAGAGCTACAGTACCAATGATGGGACACAAGGTCACAGCAGTCTGGAAGTACCTCTAAAGCTGCTAATTGATTTGAACTGTTACTTTAGTGAGAGCAGACGGTGTCTCCTGTATCCTGCAGCCAAATCTTTACCATTACATGGGCAGTAATTTAAAGATTCCCCAAATCAAAGTATACGCAGGAAAGGTACATCTATACACATCAACATATATGGAGAGTGTACCTGACAAAGGGAGGTTGGACTAGATGACCTTTAAAGGTCCTTTCCAACCTAAAACATTCTTCTGTGATTCTATTTCACTCCAAAAAGTTCTTGCAACTAAGACTTGTCATTTAGGACACTGTTCCACACCCTCTCATGCAGTCCCACAGACATAAATGTTTTGCCAAGCAGCTCACACAAACACCCAGGCATACAGGGAACAAACACAATGGGGGGAAGTAAAAATAATGCATGACCATTCGAAAGTACATCCACAATTTTATTCATAAATTAAAACCACTGTGGAAGGACCGGACAAAATAGCCCTTGGGGTGGTCATGAAAAATCATGCAGTCTTTTTCATTAGAAAACTGAGTTTATATTGTATACATTTCCAGAAGTGGTGTATTACACACTGCAGAAATTTCAGGAAAACCAGCCTCCCTCAGTCAAATAAATCCCATAACTAACTTCCTGGAAAGACACTTCAGGAAAACAGAAAGAGAAACAATGGTTAGGTGCTGTCTATAGTTGTACATTCGTGTTTAAACATGCACAAAACGAAGCAGCATGAAGGAGAAGCAACAAAAGGAGCAGACAGAAACAGACCAATTACCAACCATGTCACAGAATCATTTAGGTTGGCAAAGAGCTTTAAGATCATGCAGCCCAACCATTAGCCTAGCACTGCCAACTCCACCACTAAACCGTGTCCCTAAGTGCCACATCTACATGTCTTCTGAATACCTCCAGGGACAGTGACTCAACCACTTCCCTGGGCAGCCTGTTGCAATACTTGACAACACTTTCAGTGAAGAAGTATTTCCTAATATTCAACCTAAACCTCCCCTGGCACAACCTGAGGCCATTTCCTCTTGTCCTATCACTTGTTACCTGGAAAAAGAGAGCGATACCCACCTCGCTAAAACCTCCTCTCAGGTTTTCCTCTTGCACCAGTCTATTTTAATCCTCTACAGACCTGCAAGCCTCACTCCGTGAGCAACTTCTAACAAAGAACCTAATTTTTCTTCAAATCTGAAGCATATTATGTATAAAACCAGAGTTAAAAAAACCCTCTCAAAACCAACAGTGCTGATTATCCCAGAACTCGACAGCCATTTTATAACACAGTAGAACAGTACATATATATAACAGGTAGAACAGTAAGAAAAATACAGCAGCCCTAATTTCAAAGCTACTAGAACTAACTAACAAAAATCCTTCCGAGATTCATGCACTGTGGAGAATAACAGTTTCTCATCCTCAGAGATGCTGCTGACAGAGCGCAGTGATTAAACAGCAGTTTCTTCACCCTTCACCTGCCTCTGTTGCCAAAGCTACAAATTCAGCTCACTTCACTGATGCTGAAATATTTCTTATAGAAGTTTTAAAGAACATCTGACACAGGAATCGACAACCTTTGTTCCAGGCAGGATCTACCTCCTAAAAGCTAGTGCAGAAGAGAAGAGGCTGTTAATACAGTAAAGGAGACCACAACCTGATGACACAGCTAGGAATACGAAATACACCCTGCCAAAGCCAATTCTCAGCATACAGCAGAGCCTGTAATTTCAGCCAAGTCAGTTACGCTACACTCAACTGCAGTGGGCCTCTTTTATTTAAAAAAAAATAATTATGACAGAACAGTCACTGAGGTAAACCTGACAGGACACAGCAGACAAAAATAGCGAGTAAGCCCAAACACCAGGAGTCCAGGCCAAACATCATGCCAGAGTTTACAATGAACAAGGGCAGGACAGGGGGAGAGAAAAGCTGTTGATCAGCGTTTTATGCTCAGGCAGGCAGGCCACCGCAGTAAACACAGCTCTGTCTCACTCTGCTTACCAAAGAGCTTGGCATCTTCCACGAACTTTTGCGTTCTCCTCCGAACATTCTCAGAATCTGCCAAGGCTTTCCGGTATCGCTCCTGTAACCACAATAGCAAGGGGAGACATCAAACAAAGAGGTAAAACCCACTTCCTGACAGTTGGAAATCCCCCAGAAACGCTTTAAAAAGCGCTCACTTCTGGTCAGAAGGTTGTGCTGAGCTCCTGCGTTTTCATTACACGCAAACACAAGTTCCCCTCCTACTGATTAATCAGCAAAACTGCAACTCCCTCGAAAGACCCAAGCAAAGGCCAGAAGCATTGGGGCGCAGCTCAACTGAACACTGCATTGTGAGGCTGCTGCTTTTTGCATGACTCACTGTGGCTGTTGAGACACTCCTTTCTCTAGCAGGCAAGTTGGCTGTCTCAGCAACAGCTCTGTAAGGGCTGATTTATCGCTTGGTACAGTAGTATTCTCAGGGCGACTATCTCCAGAATTGCCCAGTGCTGTGGTATTTAATCCTCTGCTTAGTCACATCTGTTCTTCAAAGCCCCTGTAACATGATCGCTACCATTTCCACCACACCACTGTCATTAAAGAGGACTTTCCTTCTCAGACAATCTGGATCCAGGGCGGCACAGTATGTGATGCTAATCAGGACAAAGCTACCGCCATTCCCTCTCTGAAAGAATTGACACGACCATCTCCAACACACAGCTTTGCCTGCCAGGATCATACTATCAGTGTCTTCCTCCGAGGTACTACTGACAGATGGCGTTTCTGGGGAAGGCAGGCTGTACTTTCACAGTACACCCTCTCACACAGCTGCCATAGCACAGCAGCGCTGTGTGCGTGTTACAGGGCTTACAGAAAAAGCTAGGGCTGAAAGACTTCATGATGCCACTGGCAACATACTCACAGTTAAATCCCGGACTTGTTCTTCCAATTTGATGGCTTTGTGCTCTAAGGCACAGTCAGAAAGGGGATGCTTGGGCTCATCGGGATCTTCTGGGCCACACTCGTCTCCCGTACTTCTCTGCTGAGCTGCAGTGCTGAAAACACAGGGGGACCCCCTGAAATACAAACTAGTGACAAAGAAGGAAAGTTAAGCAACAACAGGGTGAACAAGAATTCTAGTTTAGTGTCATTACTAAAAGCAGGCTCTCTTAAAAAAGGTACACAGGATTCTAGATCATTTAGCACTTTTCAGAAAATACGGACAACTAGCATAGCAACATGAGAGATACATGTTTTAAAAATTCTTTTATTTTAGACTCGCATGTCATTACAGAGGTTGCACACCACTTCTTTGACATACCTTGAAAAGTCAGATTTTCACAGGAAAACAAGTTGTGGCTTGCATTTTTGATGACCTCCCAGCACAGGTGGTCAATTCTGAATGACAAACTTCAGAAACATTTTTGCGAGGCAGTCTTGAAAAGGAGGCAGGTAGTAAAAAGCTGTCTTTGCAGTTAAGAAACCCAAATGCTCTGAGCAAAATTCAGTAAGATCTGCAAAGCCATGGCACTTAAGATAGGCAGGCAGAGCCTAGTCTGCTACCTAAGAGGGTACAGTGTCCACAAAAGGGCAAGTTACACCAGCAGAATGGCTGTGGATTTCTGTGAGGCAATTGAACAAGCAAGGAAAGACCTACACATCTCAGACTGCTGGCTAACAGAGGATCCGATTCTCGGACACTCTGACTGTTTGTTCTCCTGAGTGCAGACAGACACAGTATTCGGTGTATTCTGTTTTCCTCCTATTGAGCGAAGAGGAGGAGAGTTTGAACCTTTTGCCAATCAGTTCTTACTACAAAGTAGCCATCGCTAGACTGTACCTGCCTTTCACGTCCAAAGAACAGTTGAGAAATCAAAGAGAACGGTCAGAGACACAACCAAGTGGTGTGCACCCCAAGTATTCTGGAGCCTTCTGCCAGGACCTTCACAGCTCCATTAGCTGTGTTCAGAAAAGGGACGGAATGGGCCAACCAAAAATTGTCCCTAATATTCTCCAACAGCTCTAAGCACTTCAACGGGTTTTATCTCTACTGGCAATGAGAATCCCAAAGGAAAAAAAAAAAAAAACCCGAACAAAACAAGCCCAAGCCTCAAGTGCTGAAGTCTACCTTATTTCTAACAACTTTTTCACCCCAAGTATGCTTTTGCACTAAAAAGCACATTTGTCAGTGGTTCGTGTTGGTACAGCAGGTGGAGCTCACCCAGGGGCTGACTCCACAACTTGCAGATGAAATGATGAAACAACCAAAGAGTCAGATAATTGGATTGAACTGTATAAACGCCACCTAGGTGCTTAGCAGCCTATTCTATACTGTAAAAATCTCACAGGTTTCCCAAAAACTAGATAATAGAAGGGTGTCTGAAAACAGTTTGGTCAGATGATGATCAAAACCAGCATGCTAGATTTTGAAAAAAATAAAGAAACTGTTTTTCATTCTGTTCGTTTCCAGAAAGCCGTTCACCTGTGGTAACAATGCTGTAACTCCGAGAGCGACACCACGAGTTTTCACCCCCACCTCCTACACCACCATCAGAGTCAGGACCCATTCCTACCAGCATGAGGCCAAAGCCTCAGCCCGCTTCCCTCTCATGCCTTACACCAGGAACAACAGTCTGCAGAAGAAAGTTCAATTTACTTCCAAACCAGCTCCATTCAGGAAACATTTTAGTACACGCTTAACACCTGGGCTCGTCCTCTGAGCAGGGCTTTCAACATCCCCTTTCATAGAGGGGCTCTGCATATACTAAGTGCACACCTACCAAGTGAAATGCAGCATGGCCCAGAAATCACTGCACCGGCACCAAACGTCTGTGTTCACACAGCACAATCCAACACTGCACAGAGATGCTCATTTAGGCCCCAGAATCGCTACAGCTGAGCTCACGTGACCAGGCCTGCAACATTAAGCTTTCTTCCTTTTCAGCAAGGCTGTATTGCTCGGGTACAATGTCGCAGAAGTGCACAGCTTTTGTTTCTGGGTCTATCAAATTGGTCATGAGACCTAAGTGCAGTTTACCAACCCAGCTAAGCTGCGCTTACAGCAGGAACTGGAAGGGACAGGTTTGCTCCCCTTATTCCAGTACTGGAGCTGTGCAGAATGAAGGTTCGGGGAGTTAAACCAGCTGAAAACTAACCCTACAAAACAAAAAGACTTTTCTGTCTGTGTCCCTGAATAGGTTTGCTGACAGATCAGATGAGCACAAGTGCCGGTACAAAAGAGAAGACAAACACGTGAAGCCTAGTGAGATGTGGGAGGGAGAACGTGGGGAAGAGGTGTCGACCTTTGGGTGGCAGCCAGGGCCTAGATTGGCTCAGCTGTACAACCAAAAGCACAGTTTAAGAGATTTGTATCTGCCCAAAGACCACCAAGAATCTCCTACCACTCCCCGCTTATCAGCCCAGATTTCCGCATTTTATCTTTAATACAAGGTTGCTAAACATCTCACAACACTAACGACAAACTTCCTTTTCCCACCTGAAGACGTTTGCATATGCAGTTTTCTGAAGTGGGTATTTAAAACACGATCTGTATGTCAAACCACTCCTTTTCAACACATTACACGCCAAATACAAGTCTGAAAGTGCTTCAGCTACGGATGCTTCCTCTAGAATAGTATGTTCCTTGCACTAACCTTTAAAGAACCGGGCGAGGGGCTGTAACTAGGCTCTCTTCAACAAGCTGCCCAGCCACTGTGGTTCTGGGTT